ATGGTCAACGATACTGCTTGTTCGCTTAAAACTACATCAGTGTAGAATAAAGTTTCGTTTGACGAATGAGATAAAGTTTTTAACCTTTTACTTTGACATAGTTCACTGCAGTAATAAATACTGCAAGGGTTCGAAAGCAAATACTCGAAAAGAATCTCACTAGGCAACCTTATGCACATTCGTGCAGTAGGAAATAAGCCACATCTACTGTAAAAGGGTTAATGATACTTACTATCTGGCTGCTTAAACTTCGGTAAACAGATCTGTATTTCAACCATGACTAATGACTGGAAGAAAATTGGCCAAAAAGAATGAGCTACAGCTCCGAAAAACACTTGTACTATATTTCCAAACGTAACGCATTCGGTCAAAAAAAATCCATTTATAAACACAGTTATAGATTAAAAAAAAAAGGAGTACTGAATATTCACAAATCGTTTTTAAAACTATACCTTGACATTTCCAAAACTTGTGATCCTTCTTGCTGTAGAATAAATACATCCGAATTTATACCCCTGTATACGAATCCAGATGGTTGTGAGGGAAACAGATTGGCTGTTATGCTGAAATTACAACCGAAATACTCTTGCAGAAGACCAAGACGAAAGCGAATACGTCTGAAGAATGCTTGCAAATTATGGAAACGCAACCCACCACGGTTCTAAAAGTAAACGATTTCAAATATGCTGAACATTACTTTACCGCTCCTCAAACAATGATATGCATTGTAATGAATTACTGAGAGCGTTAACTAAAAAGCCGTGCACTGTACAGCAGTTATAATGAAAACTATTTATGCTGTGGTGAATCCGCTACGAATAAAAGTGAGTATAACCAGTTAATAGCACAAGATTTCAGAAAAAGTCAAAAGCACAGATGACCAATTTGCGAGATGAACTTAAAGAAGCAAGCGAACACAGTTAAAAGACAAACAAATCAATGTACATCCTCGCAGAGAAGCGCATCGTTCACGTTGTGACACACCTGGCAAGAGCATGTGAAGAACAAGTGAGTAGAGAAGGAGTGATATGAAAGTAGGTGGATGCGAAGAAAATGAATTAGCAAGATGAAGGTGAGTTATTGGGAATGTTGAATTTGTCGATGATTGAATGAATACATGTGCACCGGTGTTATTTATATATTGAGGCATGTGAACAAGGGTATGGAGGTATTGATTCGTATTGTCTGGAGGACAAGCATCAAGCAAGCAGTCTAGTGGACTGAGACCAAGAGTCAGAGAGAGAGTTGATGGACTGGTGCCACCCAGATCTTGGTGTGGCCACCGTGAGCCTTCCTTCTTCCAAGTCAATCATACATTGTACGTCGAGGTAGTTAGTGGCTCGGTATGCGGAAGACATGTGCAAACCACCTCAGTCGGTACAGGTTTACAAACAACGGTGATCATCAGTTGCTATTTTGTCCCGACAAAACTTGTTTCAGGTCAGCACTAACTTCAAGCACAGGGAGAGATGCTATCAACTAACGGTATCCAGATGTACGGGTAATTGATGATAACCTCGTATCAGTTTAAGTTTGCTGCAGACTGTCGCACCTTTCTAAATATTAGTCAAGTGGTGTATGTGAAACACTGGGTAACGGATTTCGGATCTCCTGAATGGAGATCGATTATCCGAAAGAAGCGACAAGCTAGGGGTTCCCCAGCTACGTCAACCGCCATCACGTGCTGGCTTACACGTTTCCCAGTTGCTTAGTGTCAAAAGTATACGGTTTAGTGCACTTTTTCGCGCCGGCACCATAGCGTCTATCATATCAACAAATTCCAGATTGAAAGTTTCTCGGTTACGATCCAATGCAACGATGTTTCGGGGCAGATCAAGAACGTCATCGAGAAATATGATTGCATGACAATCAATTTTCTTTCATCGTCGATCATGAAGTCGGAAACAAGCTGCCACCTTTGGAGCAGCCTTTGGGCGGGCTTACAATCGCCTAGCTCAACATCATGAAAAGGTTCATGTACCTTTCGCTAGTCAGTCAGAGCTACATATTGCATGAAAGCATGCTTGAGACGGTATAAAGGTTTGCAGCAGCGTCGTCAATAATATTCTTGAGGAGGCTGACAATCACCAAGTTTGTCTTGGTCTCCTATAAAGTAATCTGCCTAAGAGCGAGTTGGGCTTTCATATGAGTGAACCAGGTTGAAGGTGTGTCCAAAAAGTAGGATGCTGGATAATGACGGTCATTTGCATCGGGGAGTCTTGAGCTACAAACGTGTATAGAGGTATAAGACAAAAAAACCAGGTGATATGATTGGAGAACATTGGCAAAGTATAACAGCATAGGCGTAAGAAACAAAAAATCAAACATATAAGACCCTGCTAGATACTGGTCTTAGAATATATGAATAAATATGTATTTAAGAAAAACCTAGACACTCAATAATAAAGTGGCAATCAGGCTCACCAACCGTAAGGTCGGTATTGATGTATTACTATTGCCTAACACAAATTAATGTGTGCCAGTACCCAACTAATCAGTGCCTTACCTACGTGTAAGTACTGATAGCAAAAGATAAACTGGAAAACACGTTATATGGTAAAAAGTACTCAGACAAGTAGTTTATTTACTAGTCGAAAATAAAGGTGTTATTATTAGAAGAATGTTTACTTATCTGTCTATCAATGGCTTAGCTAAGGGACTTTGAGCTAGTTGCTACCAACCAGAACAAAGAAGACGCAAAAACGGCTAATCTTAACGTGAGGAAGCCTATACTCTGAAATAAACTTAAAGAACTAGAATCATACGTAAACTCCGTAGAAGACTATTTGGCTATTTTAAGTGTTTATTTATTTATTTTGGGCCTGGCATTATTTTGGTGCCAAGATGGTGCACTACACATTTAAAACACGAAATGAAATTTGAAAAAGGCACATACAAATTGAAATTAGCATTCAGCAAAGAAAAACTTACTTGAAAATGGTCCCATATAATTCCAGCTAAAGCTCTACCAGGTGGATTAACAATGCGATGGCGTAGACCTTCACTTTCAATCAAATCCACATGTTGGCCAAAAACCAGGGACTCCTTTGGGAAAGAGATAGATTTTTGAAAAAGAAAAGAACAGTTGCGTTATATTTCAACTCTGTTATGTATTCGCTCTAGTCGTGACCCAAGTACTTAAAATCCAACCACTGAATCAGGAGTCTACACATTTCTGCATCTAAGAAGACTTGTACTGTAACTGGATGGTATAACTAACCATACATATAGTTCATAGTATTTTACACAGACTTGCATGTGGTCACTGAACTGCGCACTTATTTATTCATTTATTATTAAAGCGTAATTTAAAAAACAAACTTGGTACAACATAGACACCAAGAGATGCGATATATTACAATGTAAACTTGTAAGCATACAAGTATGTAGGATTACAACATCAGAACGTCAAAAACAATGCCAACTCAGCAGCCATCTGCACATTGATGTATCACACTGTGAGGTTAATTGGAATGAGCATTTTGGTTAGTTGTTGGGTCGTCATAATTGGTTGATTCGATACACTAGGAGATCACAATGGATTTGAGTAACTGCTAAAATAACTAAACTACTTCCTTTACCATATCCTAAAAAGACTAACCTCTAGACGAAATAAATAAAACTCATCAGGATGGATTGGCTTTGAAGGCCACCTTAGCAACTGATGGAATAGCTGATTAGCTATCTCTATTTTAACCAAAATGGTAGCCTTCTTTTTATAAAACGAAAGAACTTAATCATCTATTCACGTAGTGGTGGTTTTCAGAGTAACTCCAATATCGCACGAGTTACTGTTAAAAGGTCAAATAAAGATAGATGTGAGTAGAATCTCTGATGGTTTTACCGTGTAGACTGGAGGATAAATATGTGGTCAACAGATCCTTATTCGTTTAATCAGCATGATTATAGGTTAACTTCGTTTCGAATTCTAATTAACAATATTTTTATGCTGACACTATTCAGTATCTTCTTTCTCAGGTATATTGAAGATAACAAATCTAGTGCTATTAGAACACTACGATTGCCAGTTTCAAATTGGCATAATTACACTCTTTAGAAAGAAGTGGTTTCTTTCCAATGGTTCCCTGTTACTGCACTAAGATGAGTGTTTACATACAGGTTTATCTTACTTCAGTCCTCAGAAGATTGGATTTTTACATATCCATTTCAAGGTCGATTGATAAAGTCAATCCTTTATCGGAGGATGCACTGCAGGATTTTCTCAGATCAAGCAGAAAGAAAGCATCTTTCTGTATGGCTTGTGAAAACCATATCATATTACAACATAAATACAATCCTTATTGCTACATATCGAACATAGAATAAACACACCAGCTCGAAAAATGAAAAACAAAAAATTATATCGCAAACAGTAATAATTTATCATCTACAAATCACAAAACTAGATAAAACGATGAAACCAAACCTTTGAGCACAAAGACCCCAGACACTTTTCACGTTTAGGGCTTTATGACTCCCTGATAAGTTTGAACTGGCATAATAACTAGATTTAATAGTATGAATCTGTTCCTCATTTATTCTAATCTTATTTCCCAATTCAGTTTTCATTATACTGAGTATCGTTATACTTTCTTTCTGTCTCCATTACTTGTCAAAAATGATAGCGAACGAAAGAAACTCTTTCAACAATCGCATGTACCAGGCAATGCGGTACATCTATCGTGTAATGGTTTAAATACCATTTTAATCTCCACCTTGTTAGAAATCCTACGTAGGCACTTTGATATCTCTCCTCCTTACGTGTTTCTGGATGAACTCACAGTAGTTAATGAGTGATAATGTATCCTTTATATAATATGCTTAATTTCTTGAAGCGTTGATTTCATTGCAAAGATTAGAGGATATACAATAACAAGACGATTATAATATAGTTAGCTTTGATGTAACTAGCCTATACTCTAGTACGACGACTAATATGGTTTTTGAGGCAGTTAAGAATGAAATCAATGCTTATCAGCAACTCACGATAACAATCAAGGTGGTACCTCTGAAACAAACTATTCTAGAGGTACAGGTATGCCCAACTTTTACTCTCTTCAAGTTTCAGAATAAAATATACTAACAGACTGAAAGAGTAGCCATGAGATCACGACTATCCCCGAGTGTAACAGACATATATATCAACAGCTGGGGACACATTGCCCTAGGAATAATGAACCCCGCTCTCAAAGAATAGTGGAGATATGTGGGTGACACTTTCACGATGTTGAAGTCACAATACATTGACACATTTCTTAAACACATAAACTCAGCATTTGATGCAACCCAATTCACAAGTAAGCTGAGGTGATGAAGAGGAAGCTACGTTGGATTGCAGAATCAAACAAAGGCAAGGCAGAGGTCTAAATACTACTGTCTATAAAAAGCCTTCACACTAGTCGATACTTAGACATTAGGTTATCTCATCTAATATCAGTTAAAGGAGCCTTGTGTCTAAATGTCCATGTAACAGAACACAAAGACTAACTAGTGAGGCAGAAAATCTATTTCAAGAAATGAAACATATGAAGGATGTATTGCCATTCAACAATCACCTTTGTGAGTTTATCCAGAAACATAATGAGTGGTAAAAGTAGTGTGAATAATACAATTACAAACACAAAGTGTTCGCAAAGAAAAGATGGACATTAAAATATTCATAGTCCAACCATACAAAGAAGGGACATCAGAAGCCCTACGTAGGATTCCTAATAAAGTTGAGATTAGAGTGGCATTTAAACCTACAAACTCATTTATTGATAAACTTAATAGGCTAAAGTATGCTATCACGCCCATTGAACATAACAATTCGGTTTACCCTTTTCATGTAATAACTTTAAAATCAAATGCATAGGTTAAACTAGTCGATAGGGGATAATTTTGGTTGCAAAACGTAGAAACCCAGCTAGACATAGGAGATAGTAGACCCTGATAAGATAAGAAATCAAGTGAAGAACTCAACCACATCCATGCGTGCTATCACACACAACCATACAGTAGAATGGTATACACAATGACAAATTTAAAACAACTCGGGTTGGTGGAGCGAGAAGTTGACAACTAAAGCTTTGTCTATCGAATCGGGACTTAAAACATGTGTAATAGAAATGACGCAACACTAATTACGCATGCATATGGAAATTCTTACTGTCAATTAAATCAAAGAATAAGAAACAATAGAACAATTAGACAAAACCGAGAAATTATATGACTACCTTGATATGATTATGAGCAGCAAAATTCTGCTCAAAATGCACATACTACTGGTTCATTGTGTGATAAATATATAAAAAGAACTAGGGTGGAATTATTTTCTACCGCAGTGATGAAATTATATTCTCATATTCCTACGGAAAAGTTAAGCCAATTCCTGTGCATTTAATCATGCATATGACTGTCCACAGTTTCAAGAGCCACTTATTGATCAAATGCTAATATCCAGGATTTTTGAAAGCCAGACGATTTAGTCTAGGTGCACGTCTGCGACTAAGTCGAGAAAATTATAGGTTATAATTGTTTTAGAAGAAAAATGCCTCGAAAATGAAGTTTCATTGAATCGACAGGAGCTAATTTTCACTGATAGCCTCAGATCAGAAATTTGTCTTCATTCAGCTCAAAATCTTCTCTGGTCGGAAATATCACTGTATGGTGAATACTTCCTCAAGACGAAAAGTAGTGCTTCCACTAGATGAGCATAGATTATTCCGTCTAAATAATCCATTGTCCAAACAAAACTGATTCACGATCTGAATGAAATTGTAAACATTATTCGTCACTACTCTTCTACCGGCTAATAACCAAGCAGCGTTATTGATTGTTAGTTAAAGCCGCTTTTCTACATCTCCACCCACGTTTCTGTACGAGGTTATGAGCTACATTTAATGTGTGAGAACTTTTGATATTACCCGATGTTTCAACTCAAAGTATGCAGAGCGGGGCTTGAACACAGCACCCATTGGTTGAAAGTTGAGTCCTTAGACCAATCAGGCACACCTGAGGTTACAGGTAGACAGAACAAAAAACATGATAATATTCATCAGGAGTTCACAAATCGAAAGTAACATCTTACCGGTAAATCTCATATGAAAAATAAAAACGTCACCTATGCTACAGAGTGGATCGGATAAGATTGTTTGATGGTTTGGAATAATCCAGTCCTTTAACACACATGAATTATTGGGCCTAGTTCTCTCCACCAACTCACTACGTCTAACGTACAAATTTAGTCCGTGAAAATACTTGGATGATCAACAATATTGGTGGTATACCTGTTGTTGAATACTATATAACTGATGCTATAATAGTCATATTACTTTCAAAACAAGCAACGAACTTGAAAACACAGGAATTCACAGACATCAGTAAAACTCGTCAGCTAAATACTTTACATACCTGATTGCAGATAGCATGATGGAATATCAGAAAACATACAAACACATGAAGAGCAAACTCAGACTTTCAATAAGGTGTTACCACACAGAAACAAATAATTTCAACTGGTCAGGTGATAATTCAAAATCACTGAGTGGGTGTTCAAATTCAATAGCTTGAAGATATAGATTAGGTTGTCATCCTGAACAGAGCAGTTAGTTAGTAGTCAATTAGGACGTTCGGTAACAATGTAGGCCCAAGCATGATATGAAACTCAGGTGTACAATGATAATAACAGAAACGACGGTAACGGAAATACGGTTAAGTAAACGAAGAAGGCCGTAAGCGAAAAACAAGAAGGAAATTATAGAAGAAATAACTGTTACTCCAAAAGTCCTATTGGTTATATTCAGTTTCACAAACTATAATAAGCACAACGGAGTTCACACACAAGCGTATAGCTGACTGTTCATTCTTTTTTACGCTATGAAACCGATTTCCTTCAGTTTACATGGTGTTCGGTCATGAGGACGATGACTGACAATAGAAATGCTGTCACTATAACTCATTAGTTTAGAAAGGTGCCCTTCCCCACTTGGATAAAAGGGGGTTCGAACCCCGCTCCATCTACTGATGTTTAGGTAAGCGAGTAGTACCACTAACTCTCATACAACATACATGGCTCGTCGTTGTCACAATTAGAAAAGGAAATGGGATGAAACAAGTAAAGCGAAATGAAGAATATCTGTATAATCAATCAGTGGTCAGGTTTTATTCATCTACAAGTAGTTGTAAAGTTTATAGAAATTTATTAACCACGGGAAATAATGTAGTCGCAAAACGCATATGAGACAACAAAGAGATGCAACATTAAGTAGGAAGAAATGAACGGAGATAATAAAAATATCACCTGAATACGGTTACTAACATGCTACCAAACTAAGCACTGTAACTTCCTGAACAGTGACTAGGTGTTTATCGCTTAGTCAACAAAGAGGCGATTAATTTGCTTAAAACCCAGATTTTACTAGGAAAATAAAAGTTTGAAACCTGCTCTAGTTACTTCAACCTGGGGCAACGGTGCGGTGACACGAACCCTTGCACAATGAGTGTCGCTCATAGTCCAGCATATTCACCAGGTTGGGTTACATTAATGGGCCCTAATTTCGCAAAACGAAGAATAATTGGAGTTCTCCGTTAGCTTACGATTATGCAGGCTGTGGATATGTTCATATTGTCTTAAGTACATTAGGTGACCTACCATCGAGCTTCTGAGTTAACTGCTACACCATTCATTCAAGCAAGGGATACCTTTAGCCTAACATGTCAACCGAATAAACGATATTTTTCTTAAGCATGACTACATGCTTCTCTCTCTCTCTACATACTGGTAAGTATTTTGTTAATGAAGGGTGGATAGACTACCAATGCATCCATATTCATGGACCAAGTCATGAACCAAATAATATTCGTCTATATGTATTATTTGACTTAACCTAGTACAAATGTCTAAACGTGGTCAGTGAAATCGCCTAGCGAAATGTAGCTGAACAATCTTGTATTATCTGCATAAAGACAAATTGAAAAACAAAACCGTTCCGACGAGAAAACCTACCTCGACTGACAGTTTTTGCAATGAAGATAAACTCATCCAATTACTACGTTCTGACTCAGGATGTTCCACATACAATGGAGTTTTCTGGTACGTATCACTGATTAACAGAATCAACATAGAGTAAATAAAACTTAGGAACTGGTAAAACAAGCAAGCCATAAACATAACTATTACTATGATAACTGTTAACAACTGTTATGCTGTTGATCTTGATCTTAACTTCAATTGATCCAATCTACTACTATTGCCCTAAGATGCTTTATGCGAATATGATCCTACTGCTACTAACGTGACATCGGCTGACTATCCGAGACCAACTAAGATAGTGGCGTTATCATTGAAACTGCTTGGTAATCAAGAGTGAAATGAAAACCTGGGTCACAACAGGATTCAAATCACAGACCTCAGACTCAGGTTTTCACACCATCCAGTATGAATGATGACCTACTTGACAAAGTACGAAGAAAATGTACAAGGTCTAAAAAAGGGTAAGCTACTTAATTAGAATACTTGCGAATGATAGAAAGAGGTAGTGCAGATAAGGTAACTCACTCACTGTTGACTCGTTGTTGTTTTGATTTGTCTGGTGTAGGGATACAATACTAACCAACAACAAAATGATGCAATAAATGGGTAAAGCACTGATTATTCAAAACAGGGTAAAAGAGAAGCAACAAGAAATAGTCCGTTAAAGTTCCACATCAACATCCAGTTCTTTTTATAACGCATTTAGCAGTCTTGTGCACATTCCCACAATAGACAATGAGCTACACATTGTGTGAGGTCTGGTGATACTACCCAGATCTCGGTGATGGAGCGGTGTTCAAACTCATGATACATAGATTGAAAGTCCTAAAACCAATGGGCCACAGCTCCAATATGTTTCCTATCAAACTGCACAAACAAGGTTTGATCCGACAGCACATAGACCAATGAACGTGAGCATTTAGAAAATACTTACGCTAATCTGAAGAATTTATTAGCTAGATAGGAGTATTCTAAACACTGGACAGCTGTTTCACTGGTTTTCAGTTGAGCTCATCAGTAAGCTACCTGGACACACTAGGCTTACACACACTGAATCTTTCAAACTAACTGAATCTAACTAGCAGACTTGAGGGAATCGATATCTCTAATAGAGTGATTATTTTGAAAATTACTTAAAAACTGTGCAATCTACGTCGTCCGGTATACGTTTTTCTCAACTGTTAGAAATGTTAAAGTAAAACTGTGCAATCTGTAAATCATTTGCAAAGTGATCATTCTATCCAATGCACAGAATTTCTTGACAACGTGAAATTCGTTTACCTACCTACCTAGTTAGAACAAAACAGGCAAGCACAGAAGAATATCAAAGTACAATGATGCTATGCAACTGAATCTTCAGTTACGTGAAACGCTAGCATTATCTCAGAAACCATGTGCTACTCCATGTACTCGGTTGCGAACTATACCTATTGCGTAAGGTTTAGTGCTTATGTCTACTCGGTCCACACCTCAGAATGGGCATCTGATAAGTGACCACTAGCTAAAAACCAAGTCATCAACTAACCACTAAGCCATAGTACCATGATAATAAAAACCGTATGTAGCTCAGTTTAACCAGATGATTTAGCATTCTAAATCCATCTCTTCCTCCTGCAATATGACACAGACACACATTTTATCTCGTTCCAATGATGACTAAGTTTAGTAATTTGTAGAAGTATGCCATTGCCTGGTGCCCTGTATTGATTCTTAGACTCCTCTGTTAAGTGATATGCCTAAATAATATTTCAATACTAGTCAATTACAATATTCCCACAACAATCACTGCTGAGGAGTCTCACAGTAAGGCGAAACAGATGTCCAGTGCTTTCAGGCTTTCAATAGTTTTCTAGGTGTCAGTCTATGATGAATACCACCTTGAAACCAATCGGTACCCAAAAATCAACAATAACCACTGAATATACCAGACAATAAACCTCGGAGTCATGAATACGGCCCTAGTAAGAACAACTCAACTCTAAAGCACAATACTAAACGAAATGAAATAATCAAACAAACCTAAAAAACTTTTCCAACTCGGTGGGCCTCAACATTTGCCTTATCAATAATTCACCACGTTCCAAAGGAGTCAACAAATTACCGGCAGACATCCGCACATACTCCGATGAAGTACTGAAAAGATCAATTTTGGAATACTGGTCATTGTTTTCATTTGTCACTTGTTGGTTTCTAGACATTTCATTCGCGAATAATTCCTCAACCTTCAACTCAGAATCCAAAGATACACTATTAGAACTGTTTACAAGCATCGCACTCTTTTCGTTGTCAAACATTTCGAGAAGCTTTCCGCAAGAGCTATCATTATCATCGATACTCCCAAACACAACACGTCTTCTGTCCTTAGCAGTATTGCTTCCTGATGGTGCGGGTATTGCCTGCTTCGAACTTGTAAATGATATCACATCTGGGTCATTATTGGCATATAATGTATCCAATTTGTCTATCGATGAAATACCTTCACTTGTATTTTCCAGTTCGCCCTGTGGTGAATAGAAATCACATAAAAGGTAGAAAACAGAACAACAAAGCTTAAAGATAACCACTTCCTTCCTACATCCATACTTATTTTTTTTCTACTTCTCTTCTCCTTCAAGCAGTTGTGCATGTTTTTAATAGTTTATAACGAATAGCCGACAGTTTTAAAACTACGTGAAACATGCCCGACCGATAGCTGCTACCTTGAAGTAGTGGTCAGGCTTGCATATCACAATGACCCAACGAGCTATGCTGGTGGAACACTTGTTCCCTCGAGGTCCTACCATACCAGAAAGGTCTCTTGGATAGTGGTTAGACGAAAAGCAGTTACCGTTATAGTGTAAATTGCTACACTATGATGGGGGTCTGAGGGCGAAGTCGTACTACTCCTAGCTGGATGGGGTGTGACAGCAGTAAGGTGTTTCCCTTGGAAGATCGCCAGTGCCATGCTGATGCTGCCTTCTCAGTGGAAGGGGGGTTAGAAAAGGTCGGCCCCAAAAATAACACACTCCACCTTGCCCCACGGTCTGCCGGGCCGGCGGTGTTGGTTCACTTGTCGTTTCCTTTCGACCATCCGGCCCCAAAACAACCATACTCAAAAGGCTGGGTGTGACAGGCCTCAAGCAGATGTCCGATGGGCTCTGCGGTCACACAAATCTCTTTCAGGTACCTTAAGAAGAAATAGCCTTCCACGGTGTGGGCAGCCGGGAAGTGTCAACCGCCCTCACAACTCTGTCAGCACCCAAGTTTCTTCTGACTGCTATCCTCCTCCTCCATCATTACCTTCTAATCTTCCTTCACGTCTCTTAATTAATGATACTGCATCATCTTCAATTTCTCCTACCTCTGCAGCCTTCGACAACGATCTGAGTCCACAGAACAGCATCACTGGTCTCCTTAAACCACGCTCCAAATTACATATTGGAGCCTTCAATGTCCGCACCCTCCGTCAAATTGGCCAACAGGCTTCGTTGGCAAAGACTCTAGCAACTCGGGCATGGATGTGTGCTGTGTTTGTGAGACACGCATACAGGACCCAAGTGTGGTTATTCACCTGACCTCTCCTGACCAATCTGGTGAATCCACAAAATTCACCCTTCGAGTTTCTGGAGATTCGATAGCTAGCTCTCGTGGTCTTGCAGGTGTAGGTATAGCATTAAGCACCAGGGCAGAAAACTCACTACTAGACTGGATCCCAGTTGATAGTCGCCTCTGCGCTATGAGGCTGAACGGCACAGTGAGAACTAAAAGGAATAGTGAGACTCGCCGTTGTCTCTTTGTAATCTCTGCTTACGCACCCACTGACTGCAGTTCGGATGAAGTGAAGGACGAGTTCTACCATAAACTGTCTAACCTCCTCTCGAAAGCCAAACGTTCGGACGTAGTGGTTGTTGCAGGTGACCTCAACGCACAGGTGGGTAGACTGAGTGAGGCAGAAAGGCACTTAGGTGGCACTTTCGGAATCCCAGCTGAACGTACAGATAACGGTGATCGCCTATTACAACTATGCTCAGATAACCGCCTATTTTTAGCCAGCACAAATTTCAGACATAAAGAAAGGCACTGTCTGACCTGGCGTCCACCGAGCTCGACTCAGCGATGGACACAGATAGACCACATTGCTATTAGTCATCGCTGGAGAGGATCGGTGGAAGACTGCCGCTCCTTCTGGAGTACGTGTTTGGACAGCGATCATGCGTTGGTCCGAGCACGTATATGCCTGCGTCTCAATGGACGTAGAAAAAATTTGGCAACAAAACCACTACGAGTTCTGCTGGACAACGAAAACACCAAAGCCGTGTTCAGTGAGAAGTTGGCTAGGCAGTTATCGGAACAAAAGACTGTCACTCATCCAGAAGAAGCTTGGTGCCATCTTCAGTCTACTGTAAAAGCAGCACTGGAGACTGTAGCCGACTCCAAGATAATGGCTAAAAAGAGCCAGTGGATATCAGCAGCTTCTTCCAAACTAATGGATGCACGTGAATGCATCCCTGCAGGCTCTGAGTACAATGAAGAGCGAGCGCAACTTAAAAATAAACTGACGAAAAGTCTGCGCAACGATCGTGAACAGTGGTGGGCAGCAAAGGCTAAAGAGATGGAAAAGGCAGCGGCGATCGGTAACAGTAGACAGTTATTTAGACTTATTAAGGAGACTGGGGGAAATGGTCAACAACAGTTAGTGAGGTTATAGCGGAGAAGGACGGATCTGCGATTCACTCGCAGGGAAGGCGACTGGGACGATGGGCAGAACACTTTGAGGAACAGTTTAACTGGCCTCCAGCCACCATTGCGCTGCCCGCTATCCAGTCGGACCCTGAATGGGACATAGAGACAGGTCCCCCAACACTAGAAGAAGTTGAGAAAGCGGTAGGTAGCCTGAAACGGGAAGGGCAGCAGGACCAGACGGACTACCTGCTGAGGTATACAAGAATGGTGGTAGAGTTCTCTTAGTCAGGCTAACGGAAGTGTTAGCCAGTATATGGGAATCAAATACGATCCCCTCCGACTGGTCTAAGTCACTCATCATCCCAGTCTTCAAGAAAGGCGAGAAGTCCTCTTGTGATAACCACAGAGGAATCAGCCTGACAAACATAGTGTCTAAGATCCTAAGTTCTATAATTCTCCGACGCCTGAGTGGAGCTCGGGAACAGCAAGCCCGAGAAAACCAAGCAGGCTTTAGATTTATTTCGACCACATATTCACACTGCGCAAGGTTTTGGAACACAGACACGCTTACCGACACCCGACATTGGCTATATTTCCGACCTGAAGGCGGCGGCATTCGACTACGTTGATTGAGAAGTCTTATGGCAATGTCTCCCACTGAAAGGTGTCCCGAGTAAGTACATCACCTTATTGAAGGCTCTCTACTCGACCACTCGTTGGCGTGTTAGAGCCTATGATGAGATGTCCAGGGAGCTGTGCTCATCGAGTGGTGTCCGTCAAGACTGCCCACTGTCTCCATTCTTATTCAATTTTATCATAAATACTCTAATGGAGGTCTCCTCGTCACCTGATTACACAGAGGTTGACCTAATCACAGGAGAATGTTCGTTAGACCTGGAATATGCAGATGACATAGTCGTGTTAGGTGAAGACGCTGACGAGATGCAGAGTCTTCTGAACACTGAGTGGGAATTTGAGAATATTTGGAATATGGTTCTCACCACCTAAATGCAAATTGTTGCTCCAGGATTGGTCTTCAACAGTGCCCCATTGCGGCTAACAATACAGAGTGCAGTGATTGAGTGTGTCTACCACTTCACTTACCTGGGAAGTGGGGTAAGCCCTGGTGGCTAACTCACTGGTCGATGAAATCTCTGGACGAATACAAAATGCTCGACTGACTTTCGCCAACTTACGTCACCTGGGGTGCCACCATCATGTCCGATTATCTATTAAGGGTCGCGTGTACTGCATAGCAGTCCGCTCTGTTCTACTGTATGGCTCTGAAACATGACCATTGAAGGTGGAAGACATGAGAAGGCTTCAAGCGTTTGACTACCGTTTCCTTCGTAATCTAAGCTGTATTCTGTGGTGTCTTCATATGGGTAGTGCAGAAGTCAGGTTCAGAATTTTAGGGAGAAGAGGTGAGTCGGTTGACGAGGTTATGAACCTTCATCTACTGAAATGGTTGGGACGCGTATTACGTACGCTTAGTCGCCGACTGCCTCGTCACACAATGTTGGCCAAGGTAGGTCCAGGCTGGAAAAAGGCCTGAGGTGACCAGACTGAAACATGGCACCAATGTATGAAGTCTCTAACTGTTGGTTTAAGCCATGTGAGTTGATGTAGACTAGCCGGCTGGGATCGGCGGGACAAGAGGAACCAGTGGTTGGAGACTCTAGGTGATATGGCTGAGAACCGATGTCGGTGGTGCAAATGTATACACACATTATCCTCATCTTAACATTATACCGAATCTCACCATTTTCTCATTCTTCCTTTCTCTCTTTTCGTACTTTATATATTTTTTGACTGAATTTTCTTATCTTCATCTTTCAGTTCACTGTCTTTTTACTTGATGTACTGATATGAGGTGTGGCAACTTGGACCGTTACGCAGTAATGCCTGGTGCTAGGTTGATTTGGATGGATGGACGTGAAACGTGTTCATCCAACAACAAAACTAAGTGTACTTCTATAAGCATACTGTTACATAGGGTTACTTCCCAAAAATAACGCTTACAACGACTCAGGTATACAGTTCAACACTCAACTATAACAACTTACCGGCTCCCTATAAACTAGCATACTATAAGTAGTATATAATTGCTTTATTTTAATCTCATTGTACATATATCCCAGCTTATCTTACTATACGACAATACAAAGCAGTGGACCAATAATTGTCAATCCTGCAACAGGGAACTGCCCACAACCCAGAATAGTGTACCAATGACTTCTTATTTGTGAGAAAATAGTGAGTTAACTACTTCAGTCCAATGTATCACTGGGCAAACTACAGGAAGATATACTTTCTGCAATCTAACGTGATGAACCAGGCATTTGTCGGTTGTTCAGTAAGTAGAGACTTCATGAGTGTCTCTTTCTTTTAAAGCAGGTTGTTCGAATTTTGAAACTTCTCTTTCTCATATTTTGATTGTAGTCGCGTGTGAGATGATTCATCAGTGCCTCTATGTGAGTCAACCATCTTAACTTCCCTTGTTACGACATCCTGATCCCTGATTATATAACAGTGGATACCTTACTCTGGACAAATGAACTCATGATCACGACAATAAATACTACATATTCGGTTATTTCAAAAGAACAACAATAGGATACAAACAACATTTGGCTACTGAAACAGCTTGTAAACCCCAGCCAGTGCGGCAATACCAGACTGTCCAAACTTTCACAGATGGAACTGGGTTCATACCAGTTCCTCATTGGTCGTAAGTCAAATGCCTAAACGAAACAGCTGTCCACTGCTCGCAGGATTCCTTTGTTCCTCTAACTGATGTCAGTCTACGATGAATAACAACTCAAACTGGTAAGTCACAACCTGGTTTTGTTAAATACGAAACTCCAATTTCCATTTCGAGAACAGTGTCGAGATACAAACAAATTTATATTAAGATGTACTGGTGAAAGTTCTCATACTTCTCATGAATACAAAGTGGGAGTCGTAAGGAGGGTATACGAATAGAAAGTAACGTCATAAAATACTAAAAAAAGTAAAGACTAAACAAGATATATGGTTGGAAGTTTTATTAGTCACACCCGAACCAGCAGTCACACAACTACCCAGATACAAACTTTTAAACAACTTCGGACAGTTGACCAAGAGTAAATGTAGATGCAGGCTTTCACCAATCTTGCTGAAGCACTTTGCAGTTCAATGGCAGAAAGAAAATAAGGAACTTATGGGCAGTGATCACTGATTGGTTGAGTGTGACTTAAGTGACTTGTATGTCATGGCACAGTAAAACGACACTGTTCGCATACTCGATGTCAAGAAGTCTCCATTAGCAGATTCATACCCCTAACAACTTACAAACGATACTCTCCTGTTTAGTACAGGTATCCACAAATCTGCATATGTCGAATGCGAGTCAGTAAAATGTACTTCACAACTTGCCATTTCACAGCTAATTTGAAGTAAGGTAATGGCGAAGAAAGAATCATCAAAGGTTTGGAACTGGTAGTTGACAGAATGCCTATGTAGATGCATAAATGTAGGTTGTTCTTTGTCGACTTAGAAACGTCTATGGTTTAAACTCTTTGACCAGACGCCTAGTTAGTTAGGATAGCTGGACAAATTAGCAGCACAAAAATTTTTCCACCGGCACAGAGTGAAATAATTAAGCTGCTAAGTGAGATGCGATGAATATTATTTGGGTCGAGGATATGAACCCTCATCAACTAAAGCAGATGCGAAATGTGACCTGTATTCCTACTACCACCTTTCTGCATGCAATACGCAGTACTAAGAAGCATGGCAGCCTGTGCTCAGAAGGCAAAGCATATCTCAAAACTCTTTGACATTCGGTTCCAGTTCAACTAATGATGGTGAAAGTATTGGGTCAATCGACTTCTGCTATTCACGCAGTTGTCTCTGTGAAGGTTCGGTTTTCATTTGAAAACAAGGTGTGGACTTATTGCTTGGAGTTACAGAAACGGCAGTTTCATAGATAAGAACCGAAGGCAATGGTATAGATTCACAGGCAGTATATACTTTTGTATCTTGAACACATCCTAATCTACCAGTTGATGCGAATTCTGGTCACTTTCTACAAGGTTTCTCGACTGTGATAGTGCCATTCCTTCCTCTTGTTTAATTTTTACCATGCTCCTTACTCCTCCATCTACTTATCAAAGACAGGTAAATATAACCGACAATGGTATCAACAGAATTGTTTTGCCTATGAGCACACAAATATAGTCATGGTTTGCCGTGTTATTGTAGATCAGAGGTATGAAAATGAATATCAGCAACCCGTCCTTTCAAAAAGAAATCAATCTTTAGCCAGGAATACAATTATAGTTGCGTATCGGACTTATTAACATTTAGTTGTAAACAACTATCCGATACGAAACTTTAAAAGGTAAAGCATGTGCTTAATTATAATTCCTTTGAAACTGCTTAGTGGGAAAACAATGAAAACTATTTTACCTGCCCACAAAGTGAGCGATAAAAATCCTTTGCTGAAAGCATTGAAATAACGTGCTCAAAGGTAGCGCAAACTTTATATCGTGCACATTAGCCAAACATTCAAATTGTCTAAAGTTCCCAATGCCCGAAATATTTTGATTTGATTTTCTTCGTAGGTATGACAGTTCTTTTTTCTTCTCTGAGTGGATATGACTCTTTCTGTGTCATTTTTGATCGTAGTTATTACACTGGGTTAGCAGAGGACCTACAGAATTGCTTTGAAGACCGATAGTATTTATTCAACTCTAGTCCGTATTGCAGTCTAAAGTTAGGCAACAAATATCATGAAACAAGCTAATTTTTCTGAATTGATGGTTCAATTCAAAGTTTTCGGTGCAGAAACAGTGAGTAATTTTTCCTTCTGTCTTACATCTGCGTTGATGAAATAAGTTCTCTGTATGGAATAGTTGTAGGTCTTTACCCGATCCAGAAAAAACTGACAAGAAAGACCAGATCGACCAATTTTCTTTAATCTTCTAACCGTATTTTTGAAGAATATCTACTTTTTTAATCCATCTGGTTCATTTCTCTCATTTAGAACTCCTCATCTCAGAAGACACCATCTACGATGTCATAAACTGCGGACAAATTGTCTACGCCTGGAAACATGTTCCTAGCACGGGATGGCAACTCGTTGAACTTTTCCACCAGACAACGCAGTGTCCTCGCTGTTAATGTTTTTGGAGAGAGATTGGATCGCCAAAGTACTAAGTTGGTAATTGGCCCACAATCTTCATTCCTGAAAACTGACAGAGATAAACAATTATTTGTTAATAGGCTCTGTACTTATAGCCCTACCACTCAGCAGCGCCATGATTACGGTCCATAGGTACAACAAGTCTCTTTTATTATCATTATTCGTCCCTTGAGTTCCTAGCGGAATACAGGGGTTCAGTAGCACGTAGCAATTTCACTCTGTTTTTGACCTGGCTCCACGGCTACCCACAAACTTTCTTTTCTTCCTCATATGATATCCTCAATATCACCTTTGACAGCAAGTCTCTAACTGGGTCTAAGATGTTATTAGAGCATCAAGGGAAAGGGCTGTGATAGATTCTTCAGTCATGAAGTTAACAACAAAGATGGTAGCTTACGAATTGTCCTGGTGCGAACTTGATGGACACAGAGACTAATCACTAATTATTCCAACTTGCCACATACTTAAGAATATGAGGCCAAGAGAGAATATAAGAACCTAGTCGAATGGAATACTACACTTGCGAGGTCCTGCCAATATACCGAACCACTCCAACTAAATGGCAAAAGGGTCGCTTACGAACAGTACAACGTAACACGACAGCGTGTCGAATGGCTAGAATGCTTGGTTTGGTGCCTTCAGCCTAACGAGTCAAGTTAAACTATAAGGGTTGGCATCAATGTTGAATCTCGTCGAACCCTAGACGATCGATTCTGGAGAAGTGTGTGGCGCTACAGATCACTCCCCCTTAGTGGGTTCATGAGGACCCTAAGATGACACCAGCCGGAAGTAAAGACCCTGCGGCTTCCCCGCTGGTAAAACTCTTCCCATGGGATCGCTGTGAGAAATGGCTCCTGACCGTCTGAACTTATCCTAGGGTACCATGGGGAATGAGAAATAAAATACAATAAATCGAATTGTACGTGGATCGCGGTCCTCAGTGTCCTTTGACGTTCCCTTAAGTGCTCATTGCACCTGGAACATAGATTAAGGTCTCTAATACCACGAAATGTTTAGGAAATATGGGAAACATTTGTAGATAAATATACCGAAAATAAAGTTTATGCTTACTTCCACATTTTTCGAAAAAGTTTCATTACGTGGTAGTAAAAAACTGACATAAAAAGGTAAAATGAAGGAGGATTTTCGCATTCCCAGTGAGTAAAAAATTGTGCGAGCTGAAACGTCGTTCACGATGAGGTTGCCTTCGGAATAAGCTGCTTTCAAACGGCAGATACTAACGGTATCTTCACGTCCGTTTCGCTCGGTTGTATAGAATTCCTCATGTCGCTTGGTCACTTTTAATGTTCCATCGTTCAAGTGGTAGACGGACGACCTCGTGGCGAGTGAGCACGTGCGACGTGCTTTGTAAAATGAGGTGAACGAAGACATCAGCCGTCTTAGATCTAACAGGAGTAAGCCTAACCAAACGCTTTGCTTTTGTAAGCCTAGTCACGTAAGATATCCTGCCGAAAAAGTGTCTGAAAGTTGAGGGGGAGGCAAACTCACCTGGTAAGCGAAGAGTAGTCCCATAAGCGGGTTCTGCAGTGGCGCATCCAGCACCAGCTTTCAACGCAATACGAACAACTATTTGGACTAGAGACAGAGCCTCGATCCACTGAGGTATGATTGCAGCTGTCGATAGAAGCGTTTTACCATTCCATTTGCTTGTGGATGGCAGGCTATCATTCGGAACCGAGCACAACCTGAAAGTGCAGTTAAAGTGTGGGGTAGCCCACACTAGAATCGGTGCCCACGGTCAGTTGCTTCGTAAGATGAATATCCAAAGTTCGCTATCCATCTTTCGACAAAAACACCGGCGGCAGTTTCAGCAGTGATATCCCTAATATGTACTGCTTCTGGCCAGCGCGCAAAACGATCCACGTGGGCGAAAAGTTAAGCAAATCCACTAGATTCTGGTGGAGGTCCTACATTAGCTGCACGGACGTGGTCAAGACGCATGTGTGGGGCTGGAGAAGAACCAAAAGGGTTTAACGTGTGTCACATGACCTTACACTTCTGGCAAGCTGAGCACGACTGAACCCACTCCTTAACGCCTTTGTTCACTCCAGGCCAGCAGAAACGTAGTGCAATAAGCCTGGTGGTGGGTCGTACGGCTGGGTGGAACGTTTTGTGCAACGTACTCAAGACGCTGCGTTGACATCTCTTTGGAACCACCTGGGTGGTTGACTAGCAGAGATATCGCATAAATGTGTGCCCTTGCCTGGTCCCACCGGAAACAGTTGTGGCTTGAGAGTTGTGGACGACAACTGATGGTGCAGCTCAGGGCCTTCGTTTTGGAATCCCGGTCATAAAAATTATGGAAATGAAGCCAGATGAGATATTTGAAATTTAGTTTGACCTTTGCATAGTCAGTTTTTTGTGATTTCTTACCATTGTTTCACCATGCGCAGGTGACCTAAATGTGGAGATGTCAGAAGAAGTGGGCGGGTGATCATTTCCTTCCAGCTGGGCGGACAACGTATTTCCATCAGGAAGTAAAATGAGAGACGTGTTTCGTTAAAGGATTTCCCAGTAGTTATTTCTGAAATCCTCTAGCAAGAGCAGGTGGATCACTAATGATGTACAGTCACATAGAGCTTAAAACATCTTTGGTGAGTACTTCAAGGGTGCTAGAATGCACAGCCCCTCCAACGGATCGCGTCAAGTCCTTATAGAACAATGCGGTCGACCAAGGAAGACATTGCGAAACTCCCACCAACTAGGTGCCTACACGACGCTTAATGCCACATCGGGGAGCATAACTAGTGCTGATTCTCCAAGGGCGCCTCACAGGGTTTCAATGAGCGACAAGTCCAAAGGGCGGCACTCCCTTCGGATATTTCTGACCCATCTTTCTGAATTGAGTTTAGCTCTCAGAGAGGCATTCCATAAGACTCGGTGAAGTTGAATCTATACGCTTCTTGTTCACGTTGTTCTTGATCATATCAATTTGCAGATTTCCTGTTGTGTCTGACTACTTACTACCATATTTTTGTAGTGATGTTTCAACCTGTCCCATATATTTGGCTAATGGCTCCGCTATTCTCGTCACATACCGAATTGCCGACGTTTCGGTATACTGGGCGTTTGCTATTTTTTCTGTTTCAGCACTAAGTTTTTATTTTAACGTCTTTTTGAGTTGAAAGATCTAAGGCCAAACGTTCTAAACTCGACGGCTCTAGTGAGAAAAAGCAAAGACTGAACATTCCAGTGCTCTTTTGTGTGACAAGCATTATTGCTCCGTATACCTCATTCCCGATGAACTGGTATGCCCCACGCATTTTGTCAAACTGAAGACACATTAGTCATGAGTAGCAGTATTAACGACCACAGGAAAGAAATCGATAACACTGAGGCCATGACTGGAGAGATCTGGAGAACAGTTGTGGATTTCCATCCATTAGCATATCTTCTACGGAAGCATGAAAATTTAGTTGAAGACCGTGTAGTGAAAGCAGAAAACTTGGTAGACCACCCGGCAACATAGGTGATGAAGAGACTATCGTCGTCCCAACAGGCTATCGTTTATAACATGCCTGATACCCCACCTTTGGATGTAGTTAAGACAAGGGTATTAAACTCATGCTGTACGGCAGGAATACACGGTGACTGTAAGCGCCTCCTCAAAAAGTCAGCACAGTCTAGTTACGCCATGATTTTCGAGTTCACTGCTTCATTTGATGCCAAAAGATTTATTGAACTACAAGACCACATGAGGTTGCGTAGCGGCTCAAAAGATATTGCTACTGCACAAGACAAAACCGCGTGCCAACGCAGAAAGCAAAAAAGAAGTAGTCTGACCGGTTCATCACCTTTAAACGCAGAGGCCGCTGTGTGCACGAACAGACCATCAGAAAGTGCTGATATGGTCAGTAATTCTGTCGAATGTACCTGTTCCTCGGTACAACGCTCTCGATCAAATCTAGCTACAAGTGAACCTGACCCTTCAGTTGCTGGTAAAGAGAAAACCGCTGGTACTCCTAAGGTCACCGTAAACAGAAGACTGCGGGGTGACAGAAAACTCAGAAGTTCGGGCGAAACCTCACCATCTTAAACTAAAACGTTTCTGAAGAAAGACCATTTCAGACACGTGCTTTCTAATGACGGAGAGGAATACTTCATAGCTAAGACACTAGCAATACACAAACCCAAAAAGCGAGTTTTCCGTCAAACCCTTCTTTCAGAAATGAGTGCCACGACAACTCGAGATGCATCACACGAGACACTCCTTCGAACCACATCCCTTTAATCACAGGGGTCATAACGTGGTGCCGAGTAGCGTACCGAACGCTCAAATGTCATACGTACCACAAATATCTAACCACTGTTCGGCTGTGCATCATAA